AAACTAGAAAAATGCTTGTTTTTTTTGCCCCTTTATGACCCCTAATTCCTCAAATTTCTAGGGAATTACCCCCAAAATCAATCCCAGCCTTCCCTTTGTGGTATGGTACCTTGCAGTACAATTTCAGAGAGATCCATACACTTGAACACAAGTTATTGTCTGGAAACTAGAAAAATGCTTATTTTTGGCCCCTTATTCCTAAAAGTTGTGGGCAATTACCCCAAAAATCAATTCCAGCTTTCCCTTTGTGATATGGAACCTTGTAGTACAATTTCATAAAGATCCATACACTTACACACAAGTTATTGTCATGAAACTAGAAAAATGCTTGTTTTTTGCCCCTTTTTGCCCCCTAATTCCTAAAATTTGGAGGCAATTACCCCCAAAATCAATCCCAGCATTCCCTTTGTGATATGGAACATTGTGGTACAATGTCAGAGAGATCCATACACTAACACACAAGTTATGTCTGGAAGTTACAAAAATGCTTATTTTTGGCCCCTTTTTGGCCCCTAATTCCTTAACTGTTGGTACCATAACCCCCAAAATCAATCCCCACCTTCCTTTTGTAGTATTGAACCTTATGGTAAAATTTCATAGAGATCCATTCACTTTAACTAAAGTTAGAGTGCGAAAACTAATGTGTCTTCGGACAACGACGCCGGACGACGACGCCAACGTCATACCAATATACGACAAATTTTTTTGCGGCCGTATAAAAACCAATTGTTCAGAGAACAACTGAAGGTCTTTCCACATCAATTTTCAAAGTTCTTGAAAAGAAGCTAATTCCTGTTTACTCAAAGTTAAAATTGGCATCCCATCATAAGTTTCTTCATACTGATGCGACAAATAAGAGGTTTCTATATACTTTTGAGTGAAATAAGGGAGATAATGTGCTACTTCTGGTGAAGTAAATGTCACTTCCGGTCTCATATAATAGCTTCTTTCACACCGATTCCAAAAATATATAGTTTATATATACTTTTGCCTGTAAACAAGGAGATAATTGGCCACTTCCGGTTTATCAAAAGTCACTTCTTGTCTTTAGTGATAAGTTAATGTATTTAAATTACGAAATATATGGATTTCTAGTACTTTTCCATGAAAAAAAGTGCAAAAATGGCTACTTCCGGTTTTCTCAAGGTCACTTCCGGCTGTCATTTTTCAAGGTCATATGTCACCCAACCTTTTGTAAAAGGTCATATGGCTTTATAATGAACCATGTTGAAGTAATAATCAATTAACCTTATAATTGGACATTTCAGGGGCACTAACTCCTATTAGATGCCATTAGATTGTTTCAGACCAAATTTAACATATCTTCATTACAATTAAGCAAACATTTTGCATTTGTTCTTTTATAGATATATTTAAAAGTGTTGGAGAAAATGCAAAAACAAGGAAATATCAAAATTGAGAACTTGACCTTGACCTTTGACCTTGACTTCATTTTCTACGTTAGGACCTAGGGGCCTCAAATAAAAACATTCCAGGGTTATACAGTTAAAGGTTTATGAGTTAAAAAAACATACGAACAAATTTTTTTGGTAAAGGTAGATAACTCCTATAAAATTTCAGCAAATCGCTTCGATCCAAATTAGCCAAAAATTCCTGAGGATGTAACGAACAATTTAGAAAAAGAATTTTGCCTATATCTTTTTTTGTTACGAAGGGGATGCACACACTTGATAAACAGTGAATAGGGAGATAACTCTTACAAAGAAAATTATTCAGCTTAGCAGGGTGAAATTTAAAAGCGCATACACTGTACGATACAATATAAGAAATATCTAAGCGACATACTGCGATAAAACAAATATTTATTGCAAGAACAAAGTTTGGCGGAAAAAAAAAAATAATAATTAAAAACCAATTTTTCAAAGAACAATTGAAGGTCTTTCCACATCAATTTTCTAAACAATTGATAGGAAGCTACTTCTGGTTTACTCAGTTATTAATAGCATCAAAGTATAGATTTCTTCATACTGATTCAATAAATAAATGGTTTCTATATACTTTTGCCTGAAATAAGGGAGATTATTGCCAACTTCCGGTTTAGAAAATGTCACTTCCGGTCTCATATGATAGCTTTATTCACACTGATTCCAAAAATATATAGTTTGTATATACTTATGCCTGTAATAAGGAAGATAATATGCTACTTCCGGTTTATAAAATGTCCATTCCGGTCTCAAATGATAGGTTAACCTATGATCATTCAAAAAATATATGGTTTCTAGGTACTTTTCCATGAAATAAGTGCAAAAAATAATACTTCTGGTTTACTCAAGTTCACTTCCGGTTTACTTTTTTCAAGGTCATCTGTCAACCAACAGCTTGCAAAAGACCCTATGGCTTTATCATGTACCAAGTTGGATTAATAATCAATTAACCTTAAATTGAATCATTTCAGGGACAATAACTCCTATTAGATATCATTGGATTGTTTCAGACCAAATGTATCATATCTTAATCACAATTAAGCAAACATTTTGCACTAGTTCTTTAATTTGTGATATTAAAAGTGACAGAGGAGATCAAATAACAAGGAAAAGACAAAATTTAGAATATGACCTTGACCTTTGACCTTGGCCTCAATTTTATTTAAATGAACCAAGGAACTCAAATCAATATACCTTAGGTCTCTATCACTTACCATTCATGCTATACATTTATATATCCTTTATGTCAAATACAGAAGGGGAAATAACTCTCATATGGAGTTTACGTATCGCTTCGGTCAAAATTGGACAAAACATCCTGAGGATATAACGAGCAATTTGGTAAAATAAATTTGTCGCTTTCTTTTACGGTTACGGGGGAGATGCATGCACAAGGAAAACAGTGTTCAGGGAGATAACTCCTACAAAGAAAAGTATTCGGTTAAGCAGGGTCAATTTCAAAGGCGCATAAACTGTTCGATATCATATACGAAACATCTGAGCGACATCTTGCGAAACAAAAATCTATCGCAAGAACAAAATTTGGCGGAAGAAAAAAAAAAAAAAAAAAAATAATCAGAAGAAAACCAATAGGTCTTTCCACAGAAAAGTGGAAAGACCTAATTAAAAACCAATTGTTCAGAGAACAATTGAAGGTCTTTCCACTCATAAAGATCCATTTTGAAATAGAACTATTAAAATTTGGTTTAAAATATCATATTCAGCGTCTAATGATAGTTTATTGTACATTGATTCCAAAAATACATGGTTTCTATACATTTTTTTTCAAAAATATCACGTATACATACAAGGTAAAAGCAAAGGTCAAAATCTAGAACGTCAAATTTACCTATGACCTTTAGCTCAATTTCAAGGTCATAAACCAAGGGCTTCAAATCAAAAGACCATAGGTCTTAGTTATATATGGTTAATGAGTTATATCACTTTATGCCTAATTTTTAACATAAGAGGGGAGAAAACTTCAATTTAATGTTAGCGTACCATTTCAACCAAAATTTATGTGTTACGACATGTCGCAACTTGCAATTTAGTAAAAATATCTTGTCGATATCTTATACGGTTTTTGAAAAGAAGTGAAAATAAGCCAAAATCAAAATTTAAAATATGACCTTGACCTCATTTTCTTATTTTTGGACCAAGGACCTAAAATCAAAAGATCCTAGGTCTCTATCACTTATGGTTTACAAGATAGAAATGCATATCACTAATAACAAATGCATAAGGGGAAATAACTCTCATATGGAGTGTTCGTATCGCTTCGGTCAAAATAGGACAAATCATGCGAAGGATATAACGAGCAATTTTATAAAATAAATTTGTCACTTTCTTTTATGGTCACAGAGGAGATGCAGTCACAAGGAAAACAGTGTTCGGGGAGATAACTCCTACAAAGAAAAGTCTTCAGTTACGCAGGGTGAATTTCAAAGGCGCATAAACTGTTCGATATCATATATCAAACATCTAAGCGACATCTTGTGTAACAAAATTTATACGCAAGAAATAAAAGTGGTGGAAGAAGAAGAAAAAAAAATAATAATCAGAACAAATACAATAGGTCTTTCCACCGAAAAGTGGAAAGACCTAATTAAAAACCAATTGTTCAAAGAACAATTGAAGGTCTTTCCACATCAATTTTCTAAATAATTGATAAGAAGCTACTTCTGGTTTACTCAAAGTTACTATTGGCGTCCAATCATAGGTTTCTTCATACTGATTCAATAAATATATGGTTTCTATATACTTTTGCCTGAAATAAGGGAGATAATTGCCAACATCCGGTTTAGAAAATGTCACTTCTGGTCTCATATGACAGCTTTATTTACACTGATTCCAAAAATATATGGTTTATATATACTTTTGCCTGTAAAAAGGGAGATAATTGGCTACTTCCGGTTAAGTAAATGTCACTTCCGGTCTCATATGATAGCTTCATTCACACTGATTCCAAAAATATATAGTTTGTATATACTTATGCCTGTAATAAGGGAGATAATACAGTCGAACCTCGTTGTGTCGAAGTCGAAGGGACCAGACGAAAGTATTCGACTCATCCGAGGTCGAATGTGACGTCATATATTTGAAATGTATGAAATACCAATATGTGATTTCTGTAAACTAGATACGTGTTTATTGATCATTGTGCTTTTTTCGATATGATAATATATGATTGTGTATTCATGTTCCTTATTTTTTCTTTCTATGAATAAAAATGTAAACACAGTTAACGTAGTTTATTCTTTACTGAGCAAATAAATTATCAGGTAAGAAAGCTTACATTTATTTTCATAAAAGACAAAAGACAAGCACTACTAACTTTGAAAGGTAAGCACTAGCTATTCATAAATTCCATCGTACTAATTAAACACACAAGTACAGATTCAACACACAACATTCACAAATAAATCAATACACAAATATTTACAAAGGTCAGTCACTATAAATTTTGGAATCACTCGCGAAACGAAACAAGTCCTGAAAGATCACTGATTAGGGTCGTCTGCTTTGTGTTCAACTTTCTTTTAAGCTGTTTTCTGGTGAAATAGTTGTTGATCTTGGCGAGTAGTGGAAGCAATTCTTCTGTATCGTCCTGAGCTTCAAAGTATGACTGATATGTATCAGTCATCTCAACCATGGCAGACAAGCTCGGAACGGGTTTTTCTATCGTGATCGTATCTTCTTCGTCACTGTCTTCTTCTGTTTCTTTCATACTCGAAGTTATCTCGTTGATAATATCGTCGTCTGTTAGTGGCTCAGTTGGTTGGAATATCATTGTCGATGTTGGCGTATTCTGTGAAATTAATTCCTGCAAGACGGGCTAGTGGAATATCATCGTCGTCGTCATCTTCTTCTTCTTGTCGGTCACTTACTCTGGACTCAATGTCAACACTGAAACCTGCATGTCTAAAGCAGTTGCTTATTGTGGTGGCTGTGACTGAGAACCAAGCTCGTTGAAGAAATCGGAGTGCATCTAGGACAGTTAGACTGAACTCTGTTTTACTCTCGGCACATGCAATCTGTTTCATTAGGACCCTTTTGCGGTAGTGAACTTTTAAATTCTGAATGATACCTTGGTCACAGGGTTGTGTCTTACTGGTTGTATTAGGTGGCAAGAAAACCAGCTTAATACTTTTCAAGCCTTTAACGTGAGGATGAGCAGGGCAGTTGTCAACTATCATTGCTACTTTACGTTGCTGCCGTAAAAATTTCTTGTCAAGCTTTATTAACCAGTTGGTAAAGATTTCTGATGTCATCCATGCTTTTTTATTTGCCTCATACTGTGTTGGTAGCGTTTTGACATTCTTAAAGCACCTTGGGTTAACTGATTTACCAATGACTAGTATTTCGACTTTCTCGGAACCAGACATGTTTGTACACACCATAACAGTTAATCTCTCTTTACTTCGTTTACCACCACTGCAATCTACACCTTTGAACTCTAAAGTTTTTTCTGGCAACAATTTATAAAATAGCCCAGTCTCGTCAGCATTAAAAATGTTATCTGGTGTAAACTCAGTCATTATGCCTTTCAGTTCTGTTACCCAATCGTTCATAGCTTCACTGTTAACATCAACAGATTTTGCCTCTCCACAAATTTTTTTAAATGTGATGTTGTGGCGATCTTTAAAACGATCAAGCCAACCATTGCTGCATTTAATTTCTGGGTGGTCTAATCTTTTTGCAAATTCCTCTGCTTTTGTTGTTAGCATTGGACCTGAGATAGGTAAGTTTTGATCTCTTACACTAGTAAACCATTTGAGTAGGGCGTGTTCAACATTTTCTTAAGTTGCAGTTCTCATACGTTTTCTTTCAGGGGCAAAACTACTTTGTTGGTAAGCTTCTTTAATTTTATTAGCATTTTTTATCCAAGTGGATAGTGTATTTGCAGGAACACCAAAACTGCGTGCAATTTCTGACTTGGGTTTTGATGCCCTTTCGACTTCTAGTATGGCTTGGTATTTATCTTCTATTGATTTGACATTGAGTTTTCTCTTAGCCGATCTAGCTATCCCCCGGATGACCCGGTGCCTTCACTAGATTGTTCAGCTAACATCGCGTACTGTAAGAATGAACTATTGTGGCCATGCAACCCCTTTTATAGCAAAGTAAAAATATTTTCATAACTAATCTTTAAAGAATGTGAACAGTGTTCATAGATTAAAAAGACCGACTCATAATAATTAATAAACTATTTTAATCCTTTTAATTATTGTTCTTATTCTAACGGTTAATTTAATCTCAGCTTGTGTCATTTAAATTCGTTTCGTTTTTATACCAAGTGAAATATGTTCAGCACGTTCAAGTTCCGCTTGGACGATCAACAAAGGTGTTGATTAGCAGTCACCATAAACATGTCATTTTAACTGTTATACAAACAAGTATGTTTACACAGCTTTAATCACTTATGGAAATGTTTAGGTTAAACAAGAAAAACATCCGTTATGAATTTTATTTTTAAAGTTTTTATTTCTTTCGATTTTTTTTTTACTTTTGCACTTCGAGACATCGGGGTCAATTTACATCAATTTTACATCGACGGGGCTTAAGAATTACCTCGACTTAACCGAGAATTCAAATCATCCGAGTTCGACTCATCAGAGGTTAAAATGCATTGATCAAACGGGAATTATGCCGGGACCGAGAAATTACTTCGACTCATCCGAGTTTTCGACACAACCGAGTTTGACACAACGAGGTTCGACTGTATGCTACTTCCGGTTTATAAAATGTCACTTCCGGTCTCAAATGATAGGTTAATATATGCCCATTCAAAAAATATATGGATTTCTAGTACTTTTCCATGAAAAAAGTGCAAAAATGGCTACTTCTGGTTTTCTCAAGGTCACTTCCCGCTGTCATTTTTCAAGGTCATATGTCACCCAACCTTTTGTAAAAGGTCATATGGCTTTATAATGAACCATGTTGAAGTAATAATCAATTAACCTTATAATTGGACATTTCAGGGGCACTAACTCCTATTTGATGCCATTAGATTGTTTCAGACCAAATTTAACATATCTTCATTACAATTAAGCAAACATTTTGCACTTGTTCTTTTATAGGTATATTTAAAAGTGTTGGAGAAAATGCAAAAACAAGGAAATATCAAAATTGAGAACTTGACCTTGACCTTTGACCTTGACTTCATTTTCTAAGTTCGGACCTAGGGGTCTCAAATAAAAACATTCTAGGGTTATACAGTTAACGGTTTATGAGTTAAAAATACATACCGACAAATTTATTTGGTAAAGGTAGATAACTCCTAAAAAAATTTCATCGAATCGCTTCGATCCAAATAACCAAAAATTCCTTAGGATGTAACGAACAATTTAGAAAAAGAATTTTGTCGATAACTTTATTTGTTACAAAGGAGATGCACACACTTGATAAACAGTGAATAGGGAGATAACTCTTACAAAGAAAATTGTTCGGCTAAGCAGGGTGAAATTTAAAAGCGCATACACTGTACGATACAATGTAAGAAATATCTAAGCGACATATTGCGAAACAAATATTTATCACAAGAACAAAATTTGGCGGAAAAAAAATAAATAAAAAAAATAAAAACCAATAGTACAGAGAACAATTGAAGGTCTTTCCACCCATAAAGTTCAATTTTGATATAGAACTATTAAAATTCAGTTTGATATATCATATCCAGCGTCAAATGATAGCTTATTGTACACTGATTCCAAAAATATATGGTTTCTATACATTTTTTTCTAAATAAGGGAGATAAATTGTTACTTCCTGTTTGAAATATGTCACTTCCGGTTGTATTTGATAGTTTACTTGATACTGATTCCAAAAATATATGGTTCAATATACTTTAACATTAAATAAGTACAAAAAATAGCTACTTCCAGTTTACACCAGGTCACTTCCGGTTGGCTGTTCCATGGTTAAGTGGCTTGCAACGTAATGCAAAAAGTCCCATGGCTTTATCATGTATACATATGAGGTAAAAGCAAAGGTCAAAATCTAGAACGTCAATTTTACCTATGACCTTGAGCTCAATTTCAAGGTCATAAACCAAGGGCTTCAAATCAAAAGACTATAGGTCTTAATTATATATGGTTAATGAGTTATATCACAATATGTCTAATTTTTAATATAAGAGGGGAGAAAACTCCAATTCAATGTTAGCGTACCCTTTCAACCAAAATTTATGTGTTACGACATGTCGCAACTTACAATTTAGTAAAAATATGTTGTCCATATCTTATACTGTTCTTGAAGAGAATTGAACATAAGCCAAAATCAAAATTTAAAATATGACCTTGACCTCTGACCTTGACCTAATTTTCTTATTTTTGGATCAAGAACCTCAAATCAAAAGATCCTAGGTCTCTATCACTTATGGTTTACAAGATAGAAATGCATATCACTAATAACAAACGCATAAGGGGAAATAACTCTCATATGGAGTGTTCGTATCGCTTCGGTCAAAATAGGACAAATCATGCGAAGGATATAACGAGCAATTTTTTAAAATAAATTTGTCGCTTTCTTTTATGGTTACAGAGGAGATGCAGTCACAAGGAAAACAGTGTTCGGGGAGATAACTCCTACAAAGAAAAGTCTTCAGTTATGCTGGGTGAATTTCAAAGGCGCATAAACTGTTCGATATCATATATCAAACATCTAAGCGACATCTTGCGTAACAAAATTTATGCGCAAGAAATAAAAGTGGCGGAAGAAGAAAAAAAAATAAAATAATAATCAGAACAAATACAATAGGTCTTTCCACCGAAAAGTGGAAAGACCTAATAATAATCAGAATAAAAACAAAAGGTCTTTCCACAGAAAAGTGGAAAGACCTAATAATCAGAACAAATACAATAGGTCTTTCCACAGAAAAGTGGAAAGACCTAATAATCAGAACAAATACAATAGGTTTTTCCACCGAAAAGTGGAAAGACCTAATAATAATAATCAGAACAAATACAATAGGTCTTTCCACAGAAAAGTGGAAAGACCTAATTAATTCACTTCACAGTTCTGAAGATATAGACCAGATGACATATAGGATGTTTTTGGATGATGTGTTACAAATGAATGATGAGGAGTACATAAAGGCCATTAAAAGCAACTTGAATGGTCCAAAAGTTTTTCTCAAACGAAAACCATCTAAAGTCCGTGTTAATGGTTACATAAAAACTGTGTTAGCAGCTTGGCAAGCAAATCATGATTTAGTTTGTTATAGATGCATTTGCCTGTGCAGTGTATATAGTCTAATACATAAGTAAGTCACAAAAAGGTATGAGTGCATTACTAGACCAGGCAGCAAAAGAAGCATGACAGGGAAATTTAGACTTGAAGCATCAAGTAAGACACATTGGGAATTACTTTTCAAATTCTGTTGAAACAAGCGCACAAGAAGCAACATACTTAACATTACAGATGCCTTTAACAAAAGCTACAAGACAAGTTGTATTCATTAATACATCTCCACGAGACAAAAGAACTTTTCTCCTGAAGTAAATCATCAGCCCTAGAAATATAAGGCCCATAATCTACTGAAATTGAATCAGATAATGAAATTAAGCGATACTTGAGAACTGGTGTCTAGCAGACTATGTATCTCAGCTTGAATTACAGTATCCTAAAACATCAGAGTCCTCAGACCATGAAAATGAAACAGAACAGCAGGAAAATGAATCTGAAAATGAAAATGAAGAAGCAATAGAAGAAAACAGTAACAAAGTCAACATAACCTTGAAAAATGGTATAAGAATATACCAAAGAAAAACACCCAAGGTAATAAGATATGTTAAATACAATTACAAGACTTACTCTGAAAACTTCCACAGAGAACACTTAATGATATTTTATCCATGGAGAAATAAAGTCTCAGATTTGCAATGTGGGCATGAAACATATGAAAAAATGTACTTAACTGTTTCAAGACTCTTAGAAAATAAAGCTAAGCAATAAGGAAAAGTAACAGATCTAGAGAAAGCTATAGAAGAGGCAGAAAACGATTGTAATGAGAATGATCAAATAGCACCTGGCACCCAGCAAGAAGAAATAGAAGATGCTGAAATAGGCCCAACAGAATCTGAGCAGTATGTACATTTCAATCCAGATAGGCCAATAGAACATAGACAATTATGATGTGTCCCGTGAAGTTGGAATAGAAGCAAGAACAATAGAGTTGACAAATCATGCCAACAGAATAAGTGAGAGTGATTATTGTACATTTATTTATAGATCCTTGAATAAGAAACAGTGGGAAATTTTCCAACATGTTGTCATGTGGGTTAAAACAAAACATGAACCATTATATACATTTTTGACAGGTGGAGCAGGCTGTGGAAAATCTGTTGTTGTCAAAGCAATTTTTCAAGCTTTACACAGACAGTTATGTTCTACTGAAGGCGAGGATCCTGACGATATCAGAATTCTTCTTTGTGCTCCTACTGGAAAAGCTGCTTACAATATAAATGGACTGACCATTCACAATGCTTTCCAGGTACAACCAAATAAAGGACTTTATCAGTCACTGTCTTGTGATGTCCTCAATATTATACTCTTCGAATGAAACACAGAAATTTGTCTCTGATTCTGATTGATGAAATTTCAATGGTTGGTAATAAAATGTTCTCTTTGCTGGAGACAAGGTTGAAAAAAATCAAGGGTAGCAACTGTTCATTTGGTGGTGTGAAAATCATAGCTATTGGTGACTTTTTCCAACTCCAACCTGTATTTGACAGTTGGTTTTTCAATGATCTTAGCAAAGGAATAACAGCATAAGCACCAAATTACAGGAAAACATTATTTTCTTTTCATGAACTTACTGAAATAATGAGACAAAAAGATGAATTAAGAGTTTGCTCAGTTACTAAATAGGCTGAGACAAAATCAGCTTACTGAAAGAGATTTTGCAGTTCTAAGTACCAGAACCTTTTTAATCAATGATTCTACATACAGAACTAATGCTACTCATTTGTTTGTTGAAAATGCCTTAGTGGATAATTCCAATCTGCAATACATATCTAAATTGTGCTCACAAAAATTTAAAGTTAAAGCAGTTGACACAGTTTGTGGGGATTTACCAGCATCTGTAAAATCAAAGTTACTTAATTCTTTACCAGAAAAACAGTCTGATACAGCCAATCTTGCAAAAGAAGTAATATTAGCAATTCGGATGAAATATGATCTTACAGCAAATATTGAAGTCACTGATGGTCTT